CCGCGCCGCCGTGACGTCACGGGGCGGGGCCGCGGGAAACGGGGGGGTTCCCGCCGGGGGCGCCGTCCTGCTGCAAACGGGGCGTGTGTGCGGGGTGGGGGGTCGTGTCCTCGCGTAAGCAACTGTCCTGGTGCAAACGGGATGTGCACGGGGGTTGTGTCCTCGTGCAAGGAACTGTCCTGGTGCAAACGGGATGTGCACGGGGGTTGTGTCCTCGTGCAAGGAACTGTCCTGGTGCAAACGGGACGTGCACGAGGGGGCTGTGTCCTCGTGCAAGGAACTGTCCTGCTGCAAACGGGACGTGCACGGGGGGGTTGTGTCCTCGTGCAAGGAACTGTCCTGGTGCAAAAGGGGTGTGCACGGGGGGGCTGTGTCCTCGTGCAAGGAACTGTCCTGSTGCAAACGGGACGTGCACGAGGGGGCTGTGTCCTCGTGCGAGGGGAACCACCCTGGTGCAAACGGGGCGTGCACGGGAGTTGTGTYCTCGTGCAAGGAACTGTCCTGGTGCAAACTGTGCTCGAGGCAACAGCTGCCTCGTGCAAGGGGCATTTTTGTGCAAACGGGAGTGCACAAAGGGACCTTGGCTAAGGAGCCCCCAGTTGCTGAAGCCAGTAAAAAAAAAAAAAAAAAAAAGTCTGTGTAGGCTTTCACTTAGGGCTATGCCCTTTTATTTTTACACCTGCTCAAAGAAATGTATATAAATGTATGCATGTAGAATAAATACCTCTTTTCTGGGGCTCCAGCAGCCTGCCAGCTATTAGACACTCTTCTCAAGTCCCAGCACCTTGAGTCAGGGGATCATCTCCAAAGGGCTTATTGCACTTTAATAGTAATTTCACTTTAMTCACATAGTAATAATCACATAATTTCAATTTAAGGTTTGATAACCCTATCTAGTACAGCACGAGAAAGTAAAGAAAATGAATCCCTGACATCCTAAATTTCAATTTCCTGACTTTTCAGCTACTTCTTTCTGCATGGGGCCAGCAGCAGGTCACAGGAGCTGTAAATGGAGCCAGAAGAAACCCCACGAGGCAGCGGTAATGAGGGATTTGCAATCAGGAGGTGGCCAGGGGCACTGGGAGAAATGCAGACAGTTCCCCTAGGAGCTCTTCCTACTTTTCCTACTTCTCTTTTTTTTTTTTTTTTTTTTTTTTTTCACCTCCTTGGATTTAGTTGAGCTCCTGCACATCACTGTGATTAAACTTCCAGGGCTGTGCCCAAACTTAGAACCAGTGCATTTTTGCAGGGACAAGACCAAAGCAAGGCCCTGCATGGCCAAGCGTGGTCCTGCAGCCCTGTGAGAAGCTCTGCAGCTGCCTTGACCACGYGTTTGTTCTGCACATTCACAAGCCGTGCACTAACCGCCCTATGCAACCACTTCAAAGTTAACCAAAGAGCTAATTTAGGCTGCATTGCTTTGGTAGGTTTGGGTTTATCAAAGCAAAGCTTACTGAAGCTGGCTAGCCCGGTTTTCTAATGGAAATGGGGCGTTTTAAGCTGGCTTTTTGGTAGAAATGTTTTTGATAGTTATGGGGTTACTGGAAACAGCGGCCTCCTTTGCAAGTGATTTATGTGTGTGTTAATTAGCTAGGTACGGTGCACCTGACGCCGTAGTGCAGCAGACCATATTCTCTTGGGCAACCACACTGGTGCAATCAAAACATTATATTGTCTTGGTTAAAATATATAGCTGGTACTTCAAAGTCCCCAAACATTCATCTGCGATTTTTTTTCCCATCAGAACTGCAGAAGCATCACATTTACTCACTAAAATAGACCCTGATCCCAGCCAGCTGATGCATAACAGAGTTGGTTGCCCTGCTTTCCCCTTAAGCCATTCTTATCAGTTATAACATGTCAAGGATAATTCACTCCTTCCTCTACATCTCCCAACAAAGCTCTAATTTAGTGATTTTTTTTGGTCTTCCAAGACCCGGTTCCATGCTCACTTATTTTACTAGACTACTAAAGAGCTGGAGGTTGACAGCGCTTCTGAAAAGTCCCTTGGAGGAGATYGTGGCCATCCCTGAACTTGGTCAGGCTGGAGAGGGAGGTGAGAGCTGCACGTCAAGTGAGTCTGGGGGCAAAAGCACCTCCTCAGACAAGCTSGCTTCTGGGGACGAGTTGGTGTATGTGCGTCTAGAGATGCAGCTCTACGGCTGYGTGATCTCTCTGTGGGAAACCCACGTCTCCAGGCAATAAAATGTAAAATTTAATTTAACTTGAAGCTGTCCACTTCAGTTAAAATCAGCAGTATGTGCACAAAGACTGGTGACCAGCAGCTATTTTAAGGGATCTGCTTTCATTCCATGCAGATCAGAAAAGTGGAGAACTGATCAAGACTTTGGTGTGTTTTCTCATCTGTGTAGGTTTCTGATGCATGGTAAGGTTTGTCCATCCTGCTGGAGCATCTCAGATGTTTTCTTGCTGTCCATGGCTTCACTCCCAATATCCCACCAAAGCCTGGGTGTCCTCCTTATCGTCTGACCTCAAATCCCTCTGCAGTCAGTTGAGGCAGTCCCTTTCCACCTGCTCCTCAGTGACCACAGGGAAGGACTGAACTATCCTCAGAAGAACACACTTCAACATTAGCTGTAAGACTTGTTTTGCCTTCCTGCTCCACCTTCCTCTAGAGCTTTCTGCTCTGCYCTTGCATATAAAGATATAGGAAGATTGGAAAGAAACCCAATTATATCTTGAATGTGTTGCTCATTGAGAAGGGCCCAGCAGAACTTTGGAGTCAGAAGGGCAAGTTCAGCCTCAGGCTATGCCACCCCCAGCTGTGTGATAATCAAAAACCTCCTTATTACAAACACCAGACAAGGTGTGCTCATCACAGCCTCTGGAAACCCACTGGAAAGCATTTCTCAACAGTCAAATGAAGCTCAAGGCCATAGGAAACCATGGAGCTTGGTCCTCCACCACAATTTCAGTGCTGTGAGCGGTGCTTTGCGTGGGCCATGAGCAGGATTTACATGAAAGCCCCCACAGGACTAGGAGAGCTACTCGAAACAAGAGCAGAACTGCTGGAAAAATAGCTATGGAAGAAAGAAACCAAGATCTGGGCAGTCTCAGGCTCTGAGGCTCATGGGTCTGGAAGAAGAGGCTCCCATCAGCATCCTTTGAGCAGGTACCAGTGTGGGTTACGCTGGACTCCTGTCTCCATCCCCTGCTCTGCAACCAATGCTGCTCCCACCACTAAGAAGCTGTTCCACCTTTGGAAAAGTGTCACTCATGCTTCCCCTCTTGGGAACTGCTCAGGAAGTGATACTGGTGAGCAATTAGATCTGCACAGGATGCCCTAATGAGCTCAGGCTTTTACACAGCCATGGAAAACAAYCTTGGAGGAACTCCATGTTAAAGTTCATCTAGGACTTTCTCTATCTGTTTCCCCATGGTGTTTCTCAGGCACTTTGCAAAAGCACCTTATGAACCAAATTGTCTTAGTTTGCCTAATTATTACTTAGGAAAAGGGCGGGTCCAGGACATGCTTGTGACTCAGCTCCAAGAGCATATCTGGCTCTTTTGGAAAGAGAAGGGCTCATCTTTGCTTTGGATTGTGATGCTACCTTTGAAACTGCAGCAAGAAGCTCAGCATTTACTTGCCCAAAACACATTACACTGCAACAAAGTCCAAAGAGCAAGTGGATGATATGAGCTCCAAACTTCATAGGAGCAAGACTCCAGCAAGAGCTGAATTTAGAGGTTTGGGCTGAAGGCACAGAAAGAGGCTCCTCTAGATGAGGCAGTGGCTTTTTGAGTGAGCATTGCTGATGTTTAGCTCTTAAAACCTTACAGACAGGAGTGCATGCCAAGTATTCACAAATCTAAGCCTACCATAAAATCCTAGCCTTCAACAAGAGCGTCAAAATTCCCATTAGGGCCTGGATTTGTTGCAGCCTGTTGCTATGCACTTGGAGTGTACCGAGGGAATGCACTTCCCATTATTTGTGGATTTTGGGAGCAGTCCAGCAAATCCCTTTGCCTGTATCATGATATATGTGGCCTTCCGGTGCTTGGGAAGAGAGCGTGCGGCTGCCAAAGTACACTTAGCTCTTCACTAGTGCTGCAAACCCAAAAAATTCTCCATGGTGTGAGGTCTTCAGGCCTATCTTCCCCTTTGTGTGGGTGAATTACTGCCACCAATAATTAACGATTGCCAGGTAAGTGAGATGAGCCCCTCAGCAGCTGGATGCGTAGGGGATCCTCTTGATCCATGCCACAGCAAGACAAATACGGTCCTATGGAAATGAGCACCCAAGCTCTTGCTGTCTCCCATTGGAGCAGGGGCTCTTTCCTTCAGCATCTTCACGGCAAGGAGCAAGGCAGGCAAGGAGAGGAGCTCTGGAGCATCACTGATACCGTCTGCACTTACAGGCATGTGTCTGGGCACTCTTTGGTTCAGGTGCTTGATTTTATGACTGGTATAAACTAAACACACAGTTCAGACAAGATTTATTTTGTATGTATAACTCTCCTGTAGGCTCGATCTCATTTAAAAACCAATTACCCACAAAAGTTACTAATAAATAATTCTCAGTGTATTCCAAATGGGCAAACAAAGCATCATCCTCCTGCTGCCAAACTCCCCAAATGGATTTCTCTGCTTCATTTTCTGAATTAGATTACACTGAGCTGTAATGAAAGCAGGACAAATGTGCTCTTCTGACACAAGTCTGTCTGCTGCAGACTTGCATTTATGCGGGTTGTTTTTGTAGCTGGAGTTTCGAGGATTTTTTTCATTCCTGCCTGGGCCCTGCTGTGCAACATTATGCAAGATCTCTATCTGCTACGATGGCCAAAGGGGAAAGCAGCAATTGGCTACACTACATCGGTAAACCTGCTTTCTTGCCTTGCTTTTCCYTGATACACATAGCAGAATATCCCCAAAGCCTGCGGAAATGTTTGCCTGAGTGATCATTGCCCTGGAGCGGGTGAGCAGATGCATGCCCCCGCTCTTCATAAATCCGAGATGACGTTGTTGGAGCTGCCAAAGGGCGAAACCACCGCAGGAGAGCTGTGGATTAAAGAAGCCTGTTTTCAGTGCTGTAGGCAACAGGGTTTTGGATCAACCCAGCAGCTCCCTGAGCACCCAATCCTTCCCTTCACGTGAAGCTCGTTACATCGATCAATGCTCACCCAAACCCAACAGGCCACATCTGTGAGGTCTGTAAGGTGAAGTTATACACGTGCTCAGGAACAATTGCTCCCTACAACAAAACACAGGTATTCTTTTTAAGCCTCAYGAGGAAGAATGCAAAGCAAATGTCAGGACTTCCTGAATGGCTTTGATTTCTTTGGCTGMGTGGCATCGACTGCACGGATGAGTGAACACAGGAGAACAAGGATCCCAGATGGGAGATAYGTGGGGCCCAGGCCACAACTACACAGAGAGCTCCTGCATCCTGCGGCAATTCCAGCTGCGCAGTGTCCAGGCCAGCACCGCCATCACCAGTAACCGAAGTCCCTTCCAATCTCAACCCAGCCTGGGTTTGGTGTGATTACCAGCCCCAGGAATTATCAGTCCCACCTGTATGAGAACAAAATGGCTGCCAGGCCTGAGGAGAGCCCTGCAGTTTCTGTAGCACTTAGGATAAAATSCACAACTTCTCTCCCCTCCACTTACTGTGCTCAATTTTACAGCGGCCTTGCACCATTCTTACCACCATCACATCCACCAGCCTCCCTAAAGTGCATTAAATGGCACGACTCTGATCTGTCAGGTCTCTGCTGATCTCTTTCCAGTGGAGAAAGACACACATTGAACTGCTTTGCTTGGATACTTTTTGCAATTATAATCCATCTAACAACCACACACATTCACATCCTCCCTGCTTGTGGAAGAATATCAGGTGTGGCAAAGTTCTTTAAATSAACCATTTCCCATAAATAGCACTTTTGGGCTTTGTTTGCCTCCCTTCTGCTGCATAACTTCATTTCATAAATCCCACTAACTGGCTGAGCTCAAGTGCTGCTTGAAACGGAACCACCACTACATACGAGTTAATTCTGTGGTTTCTGGTAAAGAGTTCRTTTTCCTCCATGAGTCCAATTGCACCAAATAAAATAGCTTTTGTTCATGATGGATGTTCTCCTGGCAACAGAACGACGGAAGCTGCAAAAAAAGGCCAAGGCTCAACGACAACTCTATCTGAAACTAACCACCAAGATCAGTCAATTTTATCATAGCTAGAAAAGGAGRAGGCTCCTTCAAGGAGCCTAATGCAAAGGGGAAAATCTCTACCATATAGTGATGGCTCTCCAGATGGAAAAACATCCTTGTATAGCGTACAAGACACACAGAAGAGCACAGCTAAAAATTAATCATGTCAATGTGTCGTGAACATCAAAACAAGGTTGTGAGGCTAGAAATGGGTTTAAACCTGCATTCTGTGTGCCCCCAGCTAAATTACAAGTTCAGCAATATTAGGGAATTTGCTTCAGTGCACAAGAAGGTCCTAGACAAATCCAGTGGGTCTGGATCAGGGCCATCACTTACCAAAGGGAGTTAAGAGTGGGAAGTCCTGTTTTGCTGATGAAGAGAACTTTGGTCTTTAGCACAACATTCTCCTGCACTATCCTTCAGGATGTCCTTCAGAGGTTCAAAGCAGCCCTTTCTTCACCAATTTTGACTACCGACCTTTAATTTTCCCCTGAAATTTCCTCTGAAGAGCAGCTGATTTTCTCTGGGGAAAAGCAAYAGGGAGCAAGAGCCATTTTGCAGCAAGAAGATGCTGTGGAGGGACATGCCAGTAATATATTTCCTTCCATCAAGTCACTGTCAGCTTCTCTCCACCTTTCAGGCAGTAGGAAGATAAAATAAGTACCTTTTTCAGACTTGTCTTGCCAGTGCAGGGTAATTCCACATACTCAGTGACAGACAACCTCTCTTACAAAGTTTGCTGAGCTCCTGTATTAATCAATGTAGTTAATTGGATTGATGACTGTGCTCCTGCACATTAAGAACAGCTGTTTCACATCATTAGTGCCACTTAATGTGATGATCTGTCAGAAGGGCTGCCCTTGGTTACTTCCACTCTGATGCAGATAGTGTGAAGTCACAGGGGACACGATCACTTTGCTGTAGCTGGTGGTGGCTGGCAAGCCTCTGAATCATGCCTTGCCTGCACCAGAGCAAGCCCATCTCTCTCTGTTGACTGTCACTTCCATCCCATATCAGCAGCAGGATGCTCACTGGGATAAAGACCATGGCCAGCCACCACTTGTGGCAGGAGGATGACCGCTGTGGCCAAGGGGCCTTCCCAGAAGAGCTGCAGGACTTGGAAATTGTCTCCTCATAAGCCATCAAGGAGAGCCAAGAGGGAGACATTCGTCAAGACAAGCAACCTGATGCTTTCTAGATGGTGGCATTAACCCTTTTAAATACCTGGTGCTAATGGCAAAGGGCAAGCACATGGTTTCCTTCCTAGGGCATCTCAGCTTCCCCCCAGGCCTCAAAATAAACATTTTTTTCTGGTCCCAAAGCTAATAGTTGAGATCACTTTTCTATCCAGCTTACTTTGGACACCTGCTTCAACTCTGCAAAGCAGAAGCAGAAAAAAAGCAGTGAGCTTGTGTTGAAGGAGGTCAGTGTGATGTTATGGGTTGTCCTCTGCAGCCTTACCGAGAGGTGTTTGTTGCATTGAGCCACAGGAAAAAAAAAAAAAAAAAAACTGCTGGTCTAAGGCATCTCTTGCTGAAAAGTCCCTTCCAATGCACCTTGGCTCAGGCAGCAGCCAGTCCCGAATGACACAGCAGGTCCCTTTCCACAAATAGGCTCCTGGATTGTCCTCAAGGCATGACAGCTGCAGCTGCYGTGCTGTCACCAAAGGCCAAGAGGTAGCAGAAATAACCTCGGGAGGTCTGAACAGAGTGGCTGAGGATAACTTGCTCCCTCGTGACTCAGTGCTGTGGCTCATGCTGAGCATCCTTGAGGGGGCCCTGTTGGGCTGCTCCGCAGTGCTCTCTGCCAGGCCTTTCCTGGAGCTCCTCATCCTACCTGGCAGCAGAACTTGCGCAGCGGGTTGCACCCCCCRTTAGAGATGGGGCACATTCAGAAGATGCTGTATTACAACACTCAGTCTAATTTCTAGTGGGTTCTAGCAGCCCGAACCACCACTCAAAGGCTAAATACGCCCTATATGAGTACAGGGCAAACCCTTTGAAACAGCATTTTCTCCAAGTTCATGCCAGAGAGCTGGATGCAAGTGTCCAGAAGTAAAAAGAAAGGAAAAAAATAGCACTTTTAGCTATCTGCTATTCCCATGACAGAGGGCTTGGGTGTTAAAAGATAAGGGAAAAGTAAGAATTCCCAGGCATTTATAGACACATAAAAATGAGAATGAAGAATTAGCCCAGAAATCCTGAAGAATCAGARCCATAAAACATGTGGTAACAAGAGCTGGCACAAACCCTGCCTGAGCACTTGCCGGATCACCAGTGTCACGAYGGCTGTTGGAAGACGTGTGATGATGATTTATAGCAATAGTGTCTTTCCAAAGCAAACATGGAGCACTGAGGACTGGACCCTAATTAGGAAGCAAAGCTGAGCATGCCAGGCTAGGAACAGCCAGGAGCACCATGGCAAATTTAATTTCCCTGACTTTGTATATATGGCATATTAGCACTCTTCAAATCCACTCCTGTGTGCTCTAATTTTTTTCTGATGCCCTCAATCCATAAGCAGGAGGGAACACTTTTTCTCATCCCCCTTTTTCCATCTGCAGTCACTGGGTTTTGTTCACTGAGCATTATCCAAACTCTGGCAATTATCGTTTTCTACTGGGCATTTCTGCTAGGTCTGAAATCTGGGTGACCACATTTGCAAAGCAGCTGTATCAGATGAGAAGGCATCATCCCAATTTTGCACATAAACCAGTTCTYAGTGCTAAAATTTGCCAGGCTGTCCATAATGCAGGGTATTTTTCAGCAGTTGCTCACCCAGCTTGTGATGCTGATCATCTGACTTCACATTGTATAGCTTCCCATGAATGCCAAGGACTGTGCAGATAGTAACTCTATTAACGTGAAGGCAGCTGCCCCATCAAGAAGAGATGTTATTCCCCACAAACTCCTCTTAGCATCCTTTTTGAACCAGAAATGTGAAATTCCTTTGCAGTGATGTACTCCAGTCCCTGCACGACTCAGCTCAGGTCACACTGTCTGCTGAACAGAAAGCACTTCTTAGCTGGGGAGAGACTGYTGTTCCCTTGGCTTTCCTCCAAAGCGTCATGCCAGATGGGTTACATTTCTCCAGCTGATTTTCAGGCGAGGCTAGAGACTTTCTGCAGAGGAGCCAAAGCTCTGATCCCACAGACTTCCAGCTGAAAAGCTCTCCAGGAGGAAACCTTCCCAGGAGTCTGCTCTGAAAACTCACATTCATCCTGTTTTATGAATCGAGTCAGATAGAGCTTTTAGTTAACATCATCCAAAGGTCTTTGGTTTTGTGCCCGATAAAATRACATGCTAATGTAATCTATCTACTAGTCATGTTGGCTGTAGTTTTATGGGTGCAGCAATGAAGCTCATAAGCTCCCTAAGCAAAGCAGCTCTCTGGTCAAGATGACCCAAGCATTCATGTCAGGACCAAAGAATTGCAGAGCTTTCCCTCGCTCAAATCTGAAAAAGTTAGGAGAGGTTTCACACAGGACATAGGGTTTCTCACTCTTTTTGTTCAGAAAAGGATTGCAGGGGGGACCAGGCGGGAGCAGGACCTTGATCTCACTCCTCTTCTGACTTCTGAAAAACTTCTGTTTGACCCAGAAGTGCCTCTGCGAGGTCCCATTTGGGAAGGTGCCAAACTCACTCTGCATGGATAGCATGCAGGACCCTGCAATACCCAGAGCTGCAGAATTGCAACTCTTTCCCTTTTCTTTTTCAACTTGGGCTGGTCACATTGGGCTGCATGGAAGAAACCTCCTTTCTAAAATCTTCATGTATTTCTCCCTTCAGCCATCCCTCTCTGAGGGATCCTTTGCAGCACCTCCACGTAGCTCTTTCCCTCTTTTCTTCACTATCTTCTTTGCATGTCTCTAGCCCCAGCTATTTAAAATTGTCTCCAAATTAAGAGTGGTGACATTTGTCGTTGCCATATTTAGGTAGCCTGTCCTCTTCCCTCCCTCAGCCTGTGCTGCCCTCCTCTCTTTTGCTTGCTCCGGTTGGGAAATAATCTACTTTGTCTTCTGTTGACATGAGGCTCAATCAAAGGGTTGGATAACTTCCACCTGGAGCAGAACTGACAAGAGCAAAAAAAGGGGGAGCATCCAGCTGGGAAGTGGCATGGGGAAACCTGAGCACAGTGACCTTCAAACCAGCACGTCCTCTGGAAAGCTGTCCGACTTGCCTTGGCCTCATTGCTAATATGCAGTTGCTTTAAGTTTCCCTCTACAATGCTGAAGGCTGAAGAGGCTGAAACCTGAGCAGAGGGCTGTGGCTCCAGAACACCTCCCACGAATCCACCTGCCTCTGCATCCAAACCCTGTGCCACGTCGGAGTCGCACTTGGGTTTCTCACTTGAGCTGGGCTTGGCTCAGAGAGGCAACGAGGGGCTGACCCAGCAGGGCCGGCTCGAAGCTCTTCTAGCACCTCTCAGGCTGCACTTTCAGTCCTGAAATATGAGCAAACCCTCTGTTCCCTGGGCAATACAGCCTGTGCCTCCCCATGCCCGTAAGGATACCGCAAGGATTTTACTGTTGTGGCAGGGCCAGATGCCTTTTTGCAATGGTTCCTGCTACCAATCTGTCCTAGGAATTGCTGCAAACTAACAAGGCTAAAGAGCAACATGATTAAGTTATATCATTACAAAACGATGCTAAATGTCAGAGGCACATCCCGCTCCGCTGCCCCGATCCCAGGTGCTCTTCCACGTAGCCCTCCACAAATTGTGCTGTTTGTGGCACTCAGCACAAAGAGCGCCTTGTGGAAGCTCTGCCTGGGTGACATCTGAGCCGTTAGAGATAACCGCGCGGTTGTTCCTTACTTGGACGGCAATACCTCCTATTGCAAGTTAAAGCACACTTCCTTTCTGGGCCGCTACATTTGCTTCTCAATGCTTCATTATGTTTCAAGGTCACGGCACATCAAGCCGCTTGGGTGACTGCTCCGAGAGAAATGAAGTTGCAAGAATTTTTTCTTTAATAAATTCATACGCCAAGCCTGAATTACTTTCTTATAAGCATGTAAAGGATAATGGAAAACACTTGGGTTTACTTGCATATATGGCCCATACTTTTTTATTTTCTCTCTCTCTTCTTTGTTTGTCTCCTTTTCTGCAATGATGAAATGCCCAATCCTTTCCTTTTCTGCCTGGCACGTGCTAGGTTCTCCTTTAGTTTCCAGAGGAATGGGATTATTTGCATGAGTTTTAGGAACKGTACCCTTTCTGCAATAGCCGTAGCAGTCAAACAGCGCCAGGGCAAAAGCAGAGCTTACCTTTTGGCAGGTGTCAGAAGAATTGCTGGTGGAAGGAACGGAGTTGTTTTCAGTTCAGGAGAGGAAAGACTGACCCTGCACTTTGTTGCAGTAGGCAAATGCAGAAGTCCACAAATCCAGCAGTGGTTATGGCAGCTGCTTTCCCAAAGATGTGAYGGGAGAGAGCAGAAGAAAGATGCTTATAGCTTAACACAATATGTTTTTATACTGTGGTTCTTCCTATGACTCTCATAGAGTGCAGCTGGAGTCATATGGGAAAAGCCTCCTGGAGAAGCAGACCTTGGGGCAAAACGTTGGTCTCTTTGAAGGCAATGTCAAAA